TGAACAGGAGCATCTAGTTCTCTTGAGGTCTGTTGTGGTAGGTCATTAATGTTATGGAAGGTTATGCACTGATCCAAATGAAACCCAGGAAGCCGCTACATCGCTCTCTGAAAGTCTAACAACAATGGAGCCTTGTTTAGAGTGCTTCACCGTCAATCGCACGCGACTTCTTCAATATCATGAACGCCTTTGTGAATCCATCGATGCTGTGGTTTCAAAGTCTATGCCAGAGCATTGGAATCGAATATTTTCCCTAGATGTATGCACGAATAATCGATATACCACGAGAGTATGACTAAAACGAACTGTACAGAACGACCTCATCCGAACAAGAGTATTCAGCGCTTACAGGTCTATTTGTGTTAATTATTTGGGACTTATGAGCTTCTTGGAAACAACCGGGTTTCAGGTGAGCATCGCAATTCGAAATGAGACCTCGTCTTGATATGTTGTACAGATCGAAGTGGGAAACAAAGCCGAGATCCTGCTCGAGAATCTTTCAAATATTCTTTTCAGAGTGTCCGAATACCGTGATACACTCCAGGCTATACTAAGTGTGACACTACCCACAATGACAACATACAATGCTCTCTGCGAGGCAGTATTTCGTCTTCATGGAATTTCCGAAAATATGGACGAAGTAGGGACGCAGTTGCGGACCATGCGGTCAGTCCGAATTTTAAAGGGTCGGGCCTACATCTGGAATGCACCTGACCCCAACGACATGGGTACTATTCTTTTGGATGATTGCATTGTTAGTGACCCAGTGAAAAGGCTTGAGTTATCTGTGTTTCTTTTCGAATCTGTACTTTTATGTTGTCGCGAGGGCCCCCAGATGGCCGAGGAGCCTACCATACAGCCACCACTGTATCCGATCAGGTCTTGGGAAATGGGCCCTGCCTTAAGACGAGGTACCGCACTCGATATTGTGCATGTAATCCCGACGTCTGCCTTGAAGGCCGTCGTTCTATCATACACAGGTACTCCCTTCCCTCCTGGATATGGGCGTATATTGACAAAGTAGCATCTAGGATCTATCGAAATTGATTGGGTAAACTCCAACAACGATTTACACACTCTCGCGTTCTATTCCATGACAGATCCCCAACGGGATCAATGGATATCTACACTTCAAGTGTTTGTACCACCAATTTATTACCCTCCATTAGAACCTCAGACTTCCCTTGAGGAAGGAGAAGAATTCCTCTCAGGTATCTCTTGAATTCGTGATGATTATCGTGGGTTCTTACAGAATTCGCAGAGGATGAAGCACCAGATGGTAGGCGATTGACACACGCCAAGTCCTGGAGTGTGATAGGTCGAAAGGGTCCTCACTCCGAAACGTCGTCGTTAGTGCTTCAAGTTTCAAACGATGACGAGTTTCTTTTTACCCCGGGCCTGCTGCCTACTTTGTTCGGCGAGTTGCAGGGCCCACCTCTACTACGGCTTGCATCCCCGCCTCCTGATCTGAGCTCTGATTATGGTATGAGAGTTGCTTTTGCTTTTTATCTTCATCCCTTTAAAGAGTTTCAAAAGGACCCTCCGCGGACCTATCTGCGCTGGTCGATCTTACTGGTAAGATCACAAGAGAAGGTCGCTATCCCTCTGCCCAAGGCGGATTTTCTGATGTGTGGAAGGGGGTTTGGCATGACGACACATGCGATCGTAATGTAGATCTTTGTTCTGGGTTATCTTCTGCTATTCTGACAGTTTTCAGGTGGCAGTTAAAGTGCTGCGTTCAAGGGTGAATGATCCGGAGATAGAGGAAAAAATGATCAGGGTATGGCACAATCTCATTAGCACCCTTCATAAAATATTCACTGAACCTCTGATTATTGACAGAGTCTACGCCGTGAACTTAACGTTTGGAAGCAATTAGACCATCCCAATATACTGAAGCTCTACGGCACAGCCTCCGACTTTGGACATTACAATTCCATGGTCTGTCCATGGATGGACAACGGAAGTATCAGCAAACACATGGAAAAATCTGGGGACCTCATGTCTATATCCGATAGACTGAAATTCGTATGTTTTCAATATCCCAATGCCACTTTTTTTAATTATTGATTTCAAGTTAGCTTTGCGAGGTAGCGGACGGTCTATCCTATTGTAAGACTGCATATCCATCTTTATACTTTAACTTTAACCCATGTTCATAGTACACTCCTGCTCAATCGTTCATGGTGATTTAACCGGAGTGAGTTACTCGATATTAACCATCTTTTACTTTTTAAAATTTGAATATCACTTAGTCGAATATTTTGATCAAAGAAGACGGGAGTGCGAGCCTATGTGATTTTGGTCTTTCAACCCTTATTGTTGAATTTCACGGCACCTCGTATTATACCTCAACCATCGGTGGTGCTGTGCGGTGGGCTGATGCACTTTTTTATCGGCTTCCCTCTGAAAATAGTACCCCCTATGAAGTTGGTACATGGAGTGATATATATTCTTTTGGGAGTGTGATGCTCGAGGCATGCTGTCCAACTTCATTTATCCGAAGTTTCCGCTGACGTTTTTCGAAGATCTTATCCGGGCGGATTCCCTATCACTACATGCGAGGGGACGCACAAGTAGTCATTGAATTGCACATGGGCAATAAACCCCGACGACCTGCTCGCTCTTTCGTAACAGATGGGCAGTGGTCATTAATTCAAAGCTGCTGGGCGGATGATATCGAGGATCGCCCAGATATCACAGCGGTTTCTCAGGAAATCCGAGGACTTCACAAAGCAAGCCTCAATGTTTCATAACTGAATCAAAATCCTGCCTCCTCACCACGCGGTGCCGTACCCCCATCCACCACATAGCGACATGACCAAGCCTTGCCTGAGAGTTTGAACAGCACAATTTCGGGGGTGGCCTATAATATGCAGGCCCTTTCTCTATGAAGGACTATAGGACGAATAGCGTCAAGAAGTGGTTATAGTATTTTCAAGCGTGTTAGTAATAAGCAATCCCTTGTCTCCCCCCAGTTCACCGACATCAAACTATTCACCTTGCTGCCTTCCGACGGCATCGGCGACCGTTATCGCATCTCGTCATATTAGCTTCTACCCCACGCAAATGGATCGGCCAATCGTCAATAGATACACTTATGTATGCCCCCTGTGTCGAAATGCACCAAAATATGCTCGACAACCCCACTCTGCGACAAGATGTGATGAAAGAAGGCCAAATAGCCACGTATACACATTGACTTTGTGTAGACCAAAACAAAGACGTGATCGAATATTAACCTACCCCCAGAACGTTTGCAAATATGGGCTGGTCCCAGAACTCTCAGAATCTGTAATTAGGATGAGCGATGCAATTACAGTATACAATCAATTAATAGCGAAGATAGAGGGATCACATAACGTCGGAAAACCAGTCCACGAGGTTTTCTTGAATTTCCTTCACCTTTTCCTGGGTCGTTTTTAGTGCCGCCTTGAAACATTTCTCATGAATGTCATCTAGCAGACCCTCAGTAGGGATACCTTCTCCAAATGCCTTGATGATACTCTCAGCCAACATCATCCTTCCCAGCAAATCAGCGCTCTGTAATTTCATGATTTGACTACTGATCCCGCCTTCCTTTGTGGTATGTATTGTCTTCCACAGCTCGGCCCATCCGATTTTACACTGAGACCTGTGAAGGCAAGAGTTTGCGTGTTTCAACCGAGGTGGTGTCGATGGAAGCTCAGAACATATTTGTGAAAGGGTATAGTGACCGGATAGCAGGCGAATGCGCTGTGAGCGGGACAGAAGTGGGTCGGCATCCCATTCGCTGCGTCCTTTGAGCATCATGGAATGGTAGGCCAGTCCAAGTACACCCCGTAAGTTGAGTCGTTCTGCAACAATTATTATCGTCGACAATGCCTTCCCCTCGCCTACCATACGTTTCCATTTTAGTATCGCAGCATTCAGGAGATCAGAAGAATCGCATAATACAGCCAGTTCCGTTAGTTGGACGAGGGTTTCGATATGGGGGGTCACAGATCCCAAGGCATAATATGAGGTCAGAACTTGTAAAGCCCATGCCTCGATAGATCTGAATTGATATTTGTGTGATATCTGTGCAAGGTGGATGAACTTGAGATCGCTCGCCTCAGCAGTCATCGCGAGTAATATGTCACTTGGCCTTGCAGGTGAGTGGGTTAGCGGTTTGGGGTCGGCTGGTTTTAGAAAAAAAAAACGTACAAAGAGTAAAGGGACCATAGTAAGGCGCGAAACTCATCTGCAGAATCTCCCTGGAGGACGATAGGATTGCTGTCATCCGTGCCTTCCCTCGTTGTGGGACCAACGGTGGATGCAGCTTCATCCTGTTTGGGGACACTGTGTTCATCCAAGCTGAACATACTTTGAAATGTCGATCGATCTTTTATGAGCATAGATTGGTGGACCTATGTGAATTTGAACATGTTTGAGGATATGACAGAGTGCTGAATGGCGCAACTCGACTTTGAAAAGTGTACTCTCTACCAGAATGACAACGGTGCCATCTTCAATGTAATAAATCGAGTCTCGAAGGTGGGTTGTATTTCCCCCAGCCAAATTCAGCATGGGTAATTCCGAATTCAAGAGCAGTAGAGCCTTTTCGAGTTCGAGTCTGTTGGGGGGCTGTACGACTTCCTGTTGGGACAACAATCATTGATGAGACATTGCAAACGCAGCTCGTCTTGCGATCCGCCTTCGGTGAGCAACACACTTTTAGGCCTTATCTTTCATAGATCTGCTGTAAATAACTATTTTATAAGGTTCTACGAAATCTTCCTGTAGATTTAATAAGCCTTGTTGCCATTGTAAAGGTCATATATGGAGCAGTAAATCATGTCTCCCACCCTTGAGCTTTTGGATGGATTTAAGAAATGCTAAATTCCTTTGGATATATGATATAGTTTTATACTATAATTCAACATGAATCTCCCCGCGACATATTCTGGAGATGCATGCGCAGCAGATGACGAAAATTCAATGTGACTGCATCAAAATATAGTTCATAAAAATAGAAATAGAGGCTCTACCAGGGTTCGAACCTGGGTTTCGGGAAATTTCTAGGCAATTGTTTGTCGCACTTCAAAATCCCGAGTGATAACCACTACACTATAGCGCCTTGAATATACCACCTTGGCATTATAAAAATAAAAGCGCGGCGATACTCCTACTAACTATATCTTTCTCTACCAAGTACAAAATAAGCTATTGCCCTATGCCACCCCACCAACCAGAATACGCTCCGCCCGTCCTTCGCGCTCCATCTCCAGCTAGCTCTGTCGGAACTTCATACGGTGCTGACCAGACCTCATTCTCCGATTCCGAACATCAACTAAGTCAGACCGCCTTTGAGAGGAAATGGGAAGAACGGATTGGACTGGGCAATCCCAGTTTCGAAGAGGAAACCGCCAATTTGGGCCCCTTACTACAGCGTTCTATTGCAGGTTCGTCCGAGGAGAAGGGTAAGTTCATAAGATAGGGTACCCAATCGAAAACCTAACCCCACCTCCTTTACCATCAGAGCGATTTAATAAAATCTTGGTCTCCCTTCGTCGCGAGGTACAGGAGTTAGAAGATAATGAACTATTTGAACAAGCCCTCCTTCGTGGTTCCCAGGTCGCTCTAGAGCAGCAGCCGAGCACCGGTGATATCGATGCCCTCATGCGCAGCATGATGGTCGCGCCCTTAATGATAAAACAGATACATCAACGACCGACCTGGAGCAACGATTCGGAGAATATCAATAAGCCATGGTTATCAAACGGCAATGGTTCCCAATATGACCAGTCTACCGATGTTTCCTTTCCAAATAGTGGAGTGAAAGCTGGCAAACGAAGTCGCAATGGAAGCAGTCGAAACCCTTAAACCTCACAATCTGCTTCCATGTCCTGACCATTCTCATGGTCTCGGTAATATACAACGAACATACACAATATACAATAATTGGAACTCGTCGGCCTCATTCATCTGTGCCAGATTCTGAGAAGAAATCTGGAAGTGCATCCTCCACGGTTTTGATAACTTCTAAAATACTTCTCCTGGCGGCCATTCTACAATCATGATGCATGTAGGTGGCGCTTCCCCATCGATCATAGTCTTTTTGCACCTGCTTCAGTCTTCCCAGCACATCTGCAAGTCCCAAGGAGAGGACGGCGTCGGTTCTCGTCTTTTCCTTCCAAAACTCTAGCCAGCTCTGCGTACACCCGTGCTGATGCCAGGTCGCTCCACATGAAATCGCATGCTCAAAGTGTGGCGGAGTCGTGCGTAGACGTTCCCACGTAGTAGTCAGCCGATAATATCCAGCAAGCAGGCGGAGTTGCTGAGACTTGGTTATAATCAGGCGTCCATCTTCATCGAGATCTCCTTCTCGGTCTCCCGCTGCATCACCATTACCACTATTGTCATCCTGCGAATGCGATGGGGGGTCCAAGAGGGCATCGACCATTGTGCGTTTAACAACAACAGCCTTCTGCATCACTTCTAGATATGCGGGGCCTTTCAATGCCCGAAGTCCAAGCTCGTCAGCAAGAGTCATGGCGAGGTAAGCATATCGAAGCGACGAGCCCATGAGCTGCCTTAGTATGCCTATCATCGTACTCAGAAGAGGCTCGTGGTTGCAGAGTTGGGCTAGGCGGACAAGTTTGGTTAGCTGCTCCAGGGTTTCTGCTTTTGGGGCTCGATCTTTGAACTTGGATTCAGTGGAGACGGTGCCCGTGGGTGTGAAAGTATAGATTATGGATGAAGTCATGCCAGCTAGGATTGGTGAGGGTTTACGATTGACGTAGTCTTGAATAGCATCCAACGCCCATGTTTCGACACTTTTGAAAGAATATTTGTTCCCGATGCGTGCGATATCGATAAGTTGAATTAAATTTGCGTTAGGGGATGTTACTACTCGGAGCTCGGACGGACTAGTTGTCAATTAAATCTCGCTAGATAAGGGACTGTACGGGGGTTGTGCTCACAGTGCGTATAGGGCCCATAGAAAGTGTCGAAATTCCGAGATTGTGTCGCCCGTCAAAATGATCGGGTTGCTGTCACTTTGTCCCTCTACATCGTTCCCTCCCTGGGGTAAGGAAAACATTGGGCCGAACGTGGACGTATCCCTACTCAGAATTGATCTATGAACCTGCAGAGGGTGCCAAGCGTCAAGAGGTTGTTCCTCGAGTTGAGCTTGACATACATTGAACAGTGTATCTTCTACCAACAAAATGCAACTTCCATCTTCAAAGTAGTATGTGGTATCTCGCTTGTGCGTGCCCCGGAGACCCAAAGTCACCTCCATATCTGAATCTGTGTCGGATTCGCTCACCAACGCCTTTACTTTCTTTTGACGACCTCGATCGGAGGAAGAACCAGAATTCCGTCGCTTTCTCTCATCCCACTCAGCGCTAGATCCATTGGACTCTACAACCAGCTCAACCTTTGAGGAACCGGCCGAGATATCTGACATGTGTGGTTGATGAGTCAGAATAGGTATGGCATCGGAGTGCTGCTCGGCTGTCGTCGACTCGGAAGTTGGAGCTATCATTAACATGCTTAGTGATAATTACGATTGTCACATTTTGGCAGCGTTAACGCAATATTCATATATACTATGGCTTCGTGGACTCTTATAAATTACCCGAGGTCGCCTCCTATTGTCCGCCTCGAGCCCTCACCCAATGCCATTTGAAAATATCAAGTTGAACGACGGAAACGAGGTTGGTCCAGGTTTAGTAGGATTTACATCAAGGAAGACCATTAATTTGTTCCTCGGACTCAGATTCCTGCCATCGCCTTTGGGACGGGGACAGCGCATTTTGGCAAGGACGCGACAGAATATGTCGCCCAAGCTCTCGAGGCCGGATTCTCGCACATTGATACTGCACAGTGTTTGTCCAGCTTCAGGAGTCAAACAAAATACAGCCTAAGGGGCTGCTTTTTCTAGTTTACGATAACGAAGATAGTGTAGGGACGGCCATCAGGGAAAGTGGTTTGGCCCGTTCTGAGCTGTATATCACGACCAAGTACTCCTCCGATCCTATTCAACAATCCATTAGGTCCAGTCTCACAAAGGTATGCTCACATCTCGGCCTATTTCCTCGCTTCTAATGGCTAAGACCTCAATTATAGCTTGGACTCAAATATGTTGACTTGTACCTCATTCATTTTCCCGAAGCTGTAGGGGGTGATTTTGAAGGTTCTTGGAGAGAGTTTGAGAAGGTCCAGGAGAGCGGCCTTTCCAAGTATACTATTCCATCGTCAATTCTGAAGAACCCGACTGAATTGCGCACAGGAGCATTGGTGTCAGCAATTATAACCTGGAGCAACTGCAGGCCGTTATGAAGATCGCCCGAATTCCACCCACGGTCAACCAGGTGTGTTTTCCCTCTCTCTCTCTCTTCATTGTAGGCAAAGTATAACACAATCTCACAGATCAGTTTGAATCCTTATAACTATGTAAATCACAAAGCATTGCTCGAATATTCGCACAAGCATGGCATAGTGACAGAAGCCTACAGCAGCCTTGCGTGGGTACATAATCCTAGCCCGTAATCTAGTCTAACATCGACCAGTCCAATCACCAAATATCCGGGAGGCCTAGTTGATATTCCCGTCAACGCTGCCGCCAAGCGTCGAGGTGCGACCCCAGACCAAATCATCATGGCTTGGGTTCGAGCCAAGGGAGCTGTCATTGTCACGTAAGTAGTATTTTTCTTTCCCCTTTTCTATATAAATATAATTCATTGTAGTACAAGCTCCAAAAAGGCCCGCTTGCATGAATATCTTGCTGTAGCCGACATCGGTATGCTACTTTTATTATTATTATATTCAGCAACTAACTGATTTATTCCTTCAAGAACCATTGACGGAGAGTGAAGTTGCGGCCATCGATGAAGCTGGTGCAAATGGGCCCCCTACATCACCATTTGCGAAAACCGTGACCCGACGTGTCACGTTGTGCATCTTGGTTTTCTGCCTCTATCAACTATTTCAGTTTGCTAATCACTAACTCCCATGACGCCGTTAGTGCTCGCAGATAGGATAGCCAATGTATTTTTACATAACTCTCCCCGCTGTCACAGCTACTCGTATGTGATCTATTCTTCATTCGCTGATCATGATTATCCCAACTTTTCATGCTCAATGTCAAGCATCGGATACTGTTTCCCAAAGGTATATAACAGACTTATTTGTTCTTTTCTATGGCGTAGTGTGCTAGACCCTGGTTCTCTAAAATTCCTCCCAACATGCATGTTTTAAGTCTTTGAAGATAGACCCGGTGCTTCGACGCACGCAACATTGTAATTCAACCCACGGCTATGAAAGTCATTCGCGCTGGGAAAACTTATCTGTATACTATTACGGGATCGACGGATCGCACCGGACATCAGAGATCGTCGACTCGGAAGGGAAACATACCCATTACTTACGTACGGTAACTAATGTTGGAACTTTTTACGTTTCCGGGCTGTTAAGGTGGCGAGTCGTTCTTACAACTCAGACCGCCATAAGCACGATGCCGTTCGAAAATGTTAAGTTGAACGATGGAAACCAAGTTGGTGCCGCCTTACATCTGTGCGAAAACTTACCATCCTTTGATACAGATCCCAGCCATAGCTTTTGGAACGGGTTCGATACACAAACGCCGGGATGCTACGGATTATGTTGTTCAGGCCCTGGAGGTAGGCTTTTCCCACATTGATACTGCTCAAGGTTGGTTCAGATCTACACCTAGAGGAACGGGCTGAGGAGATCTTTGCAGTGTATGACAATGAGGACAGTGTGGGGAGGGCCCGTCAGAGAAACGGGGCTTGCTCGCTCTGAACTATGTATTACAACCAAGTACGAATCCAATCCAGTCCAACAGTCTATCAGATCCAGTCTTGCCAAGGCATGTATTCTTCCGGCTTAGTTTCCTTTTCCTGACAATAATTGTAGCTTGGACTCAAATATGTGGATTTATATCTTATACATTCCCCCATGGCTGTAGGGACTGATTTCGAGAGTGCTTGGAGAGAGTTTGAGAAGATCAAAGAAGACGGCCTTGCGAGGTAAACTGTTTAAATCACCAGTGGTGGTTTCACGTCTGAGTAGTTGTGTTTAGGAGCATTGGCGTCAGTAATTATAACCTGG